TTTTTAATGAAGATATGTCTGTCTTGATAGCTGAGAACCTTCAGTTGCCATGAAAGGATGTTTTTGCCTCTTCCCCTGCATGTGTGCAGTCAAAGGGAAGAACAGCATATTAATTTTAGTATAAAATAGCCTGCCATGGTGAGAAACTCTTTACATGATGAGTTTAAGCTTATCTTTTTAAAGGAGCTGATGGCCTTAACTGAGCGCTTAGACATATCTGTAAGCATAACAGCATTTAAATATGTGTTTAGTCTAAATATTTGTTTTAATACCACCACTAGAAGAAAATGCTTTTTGTAAATAGGGCCTAAATAAAAATATAATACTGGTTATTCTTAACAGAAAAGATGGTCTTTCCCTTTACCAGCCCTTTACCTGAAGCTGCAAATAAGTTCATCTCTATGGCAAAATTTGGCTCCCCCTGCCCCCACCTCTCTGTAGCTGAAGCTCAATCACACATGCCATTCGCAAAAAAACAAGGCATCCAGGCCTTGGAGTCAATTGACAGGTTTACTTAGAGGAACAGGCTGGAAAAAAAGGAGCCTCTCACCTTCCTAAATTGCTAGCTAAATTAGTGTGCACTGATTAAAATGACCACTTCCCAAGACCATCTTTACTTGGAGATCAGTGTGAAAAAATTCAAGTAGGGTAGTAAAAGGACACGTTAACACTGTGAGAATTCAGGCTCTCCAGTGTTCAAGTACTTCAGGATTAGCTTCCAGAGCCCAGTTTGCCTCATGTTTTCTATCAGCGTCTCCTAGAATAGAGGAACTTGTAGGACCCTTAGTGCGCTTTGAAAGATCAAATGATACTGCTGCTGCTAGCAGCAGGATAAACAGGGGTATTTCTGTGATCGTTTTGATGAAATGCGATGCTTCTTTCTTTCTAAGACTTCTGCAAGTGGCTCTTAAAAATAATTCTGAAATAGTGAAGTGGCTTCCAGCATATCTGGAAGGGTCAAAGGAAGAGTGGAGGAGCCCTATAACAAATGGGAATTTATTTGAAAATTGGAAGCAGTAGAGGTGGTTGAACTGGGGCAATATCTGGAATTTCTTGAGGGATTCTGGGTTGTGTAGATTAAAACTTCTGTTTACTTGCAGATATTGTTCTGTTGCTGTCTCCTACTTAGGCCTACTGCGAACAACAAACATTCTTACCTTCTTTTTAGTAGTCATGGCTGTGTCTTAGTTGGCAATAATAGGAACATCCATTGTCATTCTCACCAGAGAGAAGAGCAGCCTGAGCCATGCAGCCTGAGATACTTTCTAAAGGGGCTGTTCAAGGCTGCGACTGAGACATACTGGTTGGACAACATGATAATTGCCATGAACTGAACTGTCATGGTTTGTACCTGTCCTGTAGCTAAAAGACTTCAGGCTCTAGCATTGTCTGGCACCTGTTAGGAGCAATAATTCATGGGAAGGAACTGACTCTTCCTCCCTGTTTTCACATGCAGTACAGAGATTTAAGTTATTTTTGGTTATTGTGCATTTTGAGCATGTGTTTGTCCATGGGTTTGCTTTTTTAATATAATGAATTAAAATCAAGCATTAGCAAGATTTAATAATACTTGGAAGTTTTATGAAATTGGCAGCTTCTCTTGAAAGTTTGGGAGACTGTACAATCCTTTACTGCTAACTGCCACAGAGGACTGGCTTAGTGTTTCAGTTGGCTTAGTGTTTCAGCTTTGTGCAAGTGGTGCAGGCTGCTTTTCACCAAGTCTCTCACCCCATGGAGAGAGTGAGCGAGCGAGCTCTTCAGTCTAGTAAACAGCTGCATGGTATTACAGTGATGCATACCACATATTCCTCTGCTTCCAAATGCTTGTGCACCAAATCTGTTCCAACACATGACTGAGACGTGTAATTTCTAGTAGTGAATTTCTTGGCTTTCTCAAGAAGCAGGAAAGAAATGTAATTGCTGGCTTTTATGTATGCTTTTAAAACAGAACTTAGTTAAGCTTTACCTATTCATACATCTCACCTAATGTCTTTTGCAAGCACCTCGAGACTTCTTCCTTCCCTTGCAATCTAGTTCTACCTAGCAAAATAAGAAAGAAAAACATTTCCTGTGAGAGTCGATCAGTGATTATGGTGATCATGTGAATAATAGAATCTACAAAGAAATATTTTACACATATGTGTGTACTGGATTTGTATCCACAGGCACATGTGCATACGCTGTTTGCACTAGTTATATAAAGACTATCACATTTATTTTTGGTATTTCTGATGTGTGATAGTTCTTTGCAGAAATCATCCAGCTTGCATGCACACATTTACTTTTTTGTTTCTATTGAAGTCACAGGCTTGTAGAGCCTCTTAGAATTTAAGTAAGACTCTTGACAATAGTCATAAAAGAACAAGGTGGCCCAGATGTACTCTTTATGTACAGAAATATTTGAGGATCTTCTTTTCCTGAATGGCAACGTGGATGTGTAGGATTCTGCTGAATTATCAAGCCACATGGTATGTCACTGTGCTTGAGATATGAATGTCCTTTGTTATGCTCTCTCTATATCCTGCTTGCTTATTGTGCATGGGATGGGAAGGTCACGTGTTCAGAGTCCAGCAAAGCCTTGTGCTGCCCTGCTCCCTCAAGAAAGGCATGGCTTCTGGCATCGGTGGGATTCATGGAGGAAGAGTCACACTATCTAAGATTAGGCAAACTGATTTCCCTAGACTCCCTCTACTCTGCGGGGGGGAGGACAAGGCAGTTCAAAGGAAGAGCTGAATTTCAAATCATTCCTGAATACATACTTGTCATCCAGCTTTTTCTAGTACAGTGTTCTCTGACTCTTTGGTATCTTTTGGGGAAGTGAAATGGGACAAGACTGTCAGTGAATCGCCACCAGAAACTTTCATACCTGTCAGACTGTGTGATTAGTGCTGTATTCTCCTAGATGGTCTTTGATCCTGAAGCCAGGGTGTGTATATGTGCTGTGAGGAAATGTGGGACAAACTTGTTTTTAAAAACAATAATAGAAAACAATACCACAGAAGTAGAGAGTTAAGTAGACTTTACTCTGATTTATGTTTCATGAGCTAGTGTGTGTTCATCTTTTCAGTTGCTTAAACATAGCTTAGTGTTTTAGTATTTGTCTGTCCTGAGTCTCAAGTAATACATTTGAGACCTTGTATTCTAGAAATGATTGGCAAGCCAGCCCTTAAGTATAAATTTAACTTCTACCAGCAAGTGAATTCTAATTCCAGTTGAACTTATAACAGTTCACCAAATGAAATCAACTGTGCCAGGAACAGGATTTCTATTTCTTTGGCTGAAGACATTTTGATCAGTAAGATCTGAAGAGGAACAAATGTGGTGGAGTGACAAATCATGTTACAAAGATGCTGCTAACAATGTTGTCTTGAATAGATTTAAGCAGAGCAGGCAAGGACTTAGATGTGACATAAACTGATAATGACAAAAGAGTGTGGACCAGAATATGTTTTTTCTGGAGTGGTCAGTTTACTGCTTCCTGGCTGTATCCAATTTACTAAAATAATTAATTTGGTTTGTGGTCCACTCTTTATTATCCTCTTTGTTTGAATCCCATAGCCCTTTGTCAAGCAGTCAAAAGTGTATCTGTTGCTTAAGTGAAATGCGAATATTCTGTTGAATATGACAGGGTGTACATGTGGAAGGTGATGGGGATGCAGACATTCTGGTCGTGACCAGCTCTGCTGCTTTGAGTAAAATTATCAAAGTATGTGTGCAACTCAGAATTGGCTAGAGACATGCAAAAGTCAAACCTGTGTCCAGATTAGGGGCCCAAGTCCCTTGGAAAGTAGTATGCAAAACTCTACTGCCAGTCTAAGATTTGGTATTGTGGTTTTCTAATGTGCATGGCTCTGGTGAACTGGCAGCACTTCTTCAAGGCCTATATACTAATTTGATTTCCTTTTGTGTCTGGTTATTGTATTTTTTTTCCTGAATCCACTGGTTACTGAGGTGTTCTTTTGCCTGATGTTTTAAGGTCTTTTTTTTTTTTCCTGATGTGAGTAATATTTGGACTGACAATTCTCAAAATGTTCTGTGGATCACTTCTACTCTTGTTTGTTGTCCATGTAGCCATATGCCATGCAACTCAGAGCTTGTTTGTTTATTTAGTGATTCTCATTCTAATTTTGCTTGGGGCTATTCTTAATGAATGGAAAGCAAAATATCAGAATAGAGCAAAGGGTAAAGATCTGATGACAACCTGTGGAGTTGTGTTACGTTCTGTTAATAATAGACACATAGGACTTAGTCTAGGAAAATTTATACTATAATCCAGCGACATAACCAAATCCTAGTTCATTGGGAAATAAAAAGCTGCTCTTGGTTAAAATTGGGTAAAAGTGGAATTAACTTGCTTCATTTTGATGAAGAGGCTTTAAGTTTCCCTGACACTTGCATAGCTAAGATTTGATCTACAAAGCTTTAGGGGTAAATAAGAATAAAAGACCCAGACAACTGTTAAGACTATGACTTGTATTTTGGCATTGCTCTAAGTGCCTGAATCTCAGAAAATTAGCATAAATGAATAGGTAGCTATTGAGTTTATAGTGTGTCTGTGCTGACCTGAATTTTTTCTTTTTATTTCTTGTCTCTGGACAACATGTCTTGTTGATTTCTTTTTGTGGCTTGCACTTAATACTGTTTTGATTGCTATATTATAAATAGCTTCAGCTAAATATATTTCTAATGTATCCAGGTAAAAACCACATATTTATGTTGTGCTTTCTTGCAGGGGCTGGTGTTTTTTTCCTTTCTTGTGCTGAAGGAGAGCAGATCAGCTTTCTGTTCGACTGTATCGTCCGTGGCATCTCCCCGACGAAAGGCCCCTTTGGTTTGCGTCCAGTCCTACCAGGTTAATATAGGAAGTATAGAGTAACCAAGCAAAGTAGGAACTTGCGATGTCTAGCACTTGTTGCTGTGATTGTAAGAACAGCTTGCAGACACTAAGGGTGTAGAAAGTGCAAAGTCATTTTCATTCTGAAATGTCACAGTACAGATTTATCAGTTGAATGTACCCAGTTTTCCCCTGCTGCTCTGGTTCATTCATATTTCTGGTGATACTGCTAACTTCAACCTTCTCTTATTTAACAGTACTAAAATATAGCAATTTGAACTGAAAGGAACTCTAACCTTTAGTTTTAAACTTGCACAGTTCAACTTGGATCCATGTCTGCATTACTATTTTGATAGTTTAATGGAAAACTAACTTCTGGGGCATTTTGAGTTCATCCAAAACACTTAGTTCTAAGTCTTGCCAACCTTAGAAAACTTTGTCAAGCCTCCACATCACATTTCAGTTTTGCAGCTTGAGCTTCTTTTCTGATGCGTAAGGATTAAATTAGTTTTCCTATTTCATGGTAAATGCTGCGTGTGCTGTGGTGTTCAGGAAGGAAATCAGATGGCACCATGGTAAGCCCTGTTGCCTTTTGACTTTAGCAGATGAAGAAATGTAATACTGAGTTGGAATGACTGTGCCAAACAGGGCAAGAGTGTGGAAATGAGATTGCCGAAAAATATCTGTGAATTGGCAGTGGGATGTAGTGGAAACAGGCTGCAAGAATGCTGAAGGATGAGGCGGGATTTGTGGAAAATACTTAGAGTTTCTGTTTAAGTGTTAGGCAGTTAATAGGTGTTTGTTAGAGTTTTATTGCTGTTATAAGATTAAGATAATTGCAGGAAGGAAATGTCATGGAAAAGATAAGATCTGGATGCGAAACTTGTGAAAATAAATTATGAAAACTTAAGGTAAATGCAGTAGACACAAGGCTCAGTTCATCTCTACTTTCCCATAGTTGTAACACTGAAATAAATGAAATAATCAAGCAGAATAGTGGGCAATAAAACATTATTCTTCTTATATGATGATCTGTATTTGCATTCGACTAAGTGGATTGTTAAAAAAACCCAAACAACTACAAACAGCAGAAACCCAAAAAACTGTGCCAATACTTGAAGCTTTGCTATTGAACACATATTTTTCTGCATATCTAAAACTATTGCACTTATACAACTCCTAAATCTTTCATTTAACAAAAATTTATGTTGAGAAAAATGAAGCCTACAAACAACTATTCTGTTGTCTTTTTTTAAAATTTTTTTTTAATTTTATAAGGCACGTTCTTTGAAAAATCTTTTTTTTTTTTTTTTTTTTTTAAGAGGCATGTAGAAGTAAATCTGCTTTCGCATCTTAGTTATCAACTCTGGCATTTGTGGGTTGTTATACATAGCCACATACCATGTTCCCTTCCCTCCTTCAAGAGCTGTGACCTCACTGAAGTGCATAAAGGGGATGTGGAATATTATGGGGATGATTTGGTGGTTTTTGTAAGGGAAGACCTCTTTCTGAGGTCTTTTTAATTTGACTTCTATGCTTCATGGATTTGCTGCTAAAATGAGGTGAAGATGTACTTAGCCACTTGATTTCACCTTGTTTCCCTAGACAGGAGCAGTGTTCTGTAGGGAACTGTGCTCATGTTCTTGCAGACTTCTCTGCAGCCCTTTTCCAAGCTACTTTGACCCCTCTAACTTACATTTCCCTGTATCTTTACGCTTGTCTCTTCCAGTTTGTTGTCACCCCTTATGTACACATCCCTTCATAGAAAAATTTTTATTTTTTATATTCTCCTTCATTTACTATCCCATGCAGAAGCTTGCACAGACCTGTTTAAGGCAGATGCACATATACAATAGTAGTGATTCATCCATAAACTTGTTTTCCTTATCAAGTATGCTGTTACACAGAATGTACTGTATTGCTTGAAAAGGTCAAGCCTCTGCCAGCTGCATACTGTTTCTGGCAAGAGTATTGAAATTCACCCAACCTTTCAAAAGGGTTAGTTATTAAATAGATTAATCATCTGTACACCTCAGGTAACTAGATCAGAACTTCTGGATTGGGGATTCTACCAAGAAACATCTAGTCAATGTTGTTCATATTTGCTGCAGTGCAGAATGCTACACGCCCTTAACTGTGCTTTATATATGCAATGTTCTGCTTTTGTGTAATTTAAAAGCCTTTATCGGAAGCAGCCTTCTCTCCACAGTTTGCTATTTGAATTTGGCTTCTTCTAGTTGCCTGTACCTTTCCAATCTAAACTTAAAATATACTTGAATAACTCTTAGGTATTTTCAAGAAAGGAAAACACACAAAGGGCAACTGTACAGAGAGAAGAATGTAATGTGGTGAAAAAATGTCACATTGACAGTGTTCTTGGACACCAACGCCCCCAGAACAAATATAGTCTAGAGACGTTATGCAGTCAACATCTGCTTAGTCTGCCTTTAGAAAAAGGGTAATGAACGAAGCCAGTGGATTCAGGTAGAAATGGAGTGCTGAAATATTTAAGCATTAGCATAAAATTAATAGGAAACTATAGAGACTGATTTGAAGAGGACTAGAAAATGATCAGTTTTCTTACTTTTACTTGCCGTAGTGATTCTTTAAACAAAGGTAAAATGCCCAGTACCCAAAAGGAGTTTGTAAACTACATGTGCAAGGGATATTTGCTCAAGTACAATATTCACATCTTTTCAGGATTGTAGTTTTAAAAAATATACCTTACTTCCTTAAAAGCTTGGGGTTCTTGTAACATAGGTAAATGATTATTGTATGTATTTTATTACATTATCTATAAAATATGTCCGGAAAATGCTGTGCAGTGGAACTCATAAACTTGACTGACCATTGCAAGGTATCAAAATTTAGTCTAATCTCTCATAGCTGACCTGCTTTGAGCAGCAGGTTAGACTAAAGAACTCCTGAGATCCCTTCCAACCTGAATTATTCTGTGACTTTTTGGAAATGGGTGTCAAATGAATATGAATATTCTCATGATAAAAATAATTCTATTATGTGTACATCCAAAATGGAAAAATGGAAAAGGAAAAGAACATTAGATGTTTTACTGTTTACTACTGTGTGATACTTATTTTGGGAGTCCATTAATTCTGCCAAATTGTACCAAAATGCTCCTATTGGTAACTCCATTAGCAGATTGGACATTTTGATTTGTTAAAGGCTGCATGATCAGGTTTCAAATTTAAGACATATGGCATTGAGTGGGAATGCAAAGGTAGTGTAGGTATCTGTAGATTTTTTTAGGCGGTGTAGCGTTTTAAATAAAGGACTCAAATGAGTGACAGGATGTCTTTGGATGGCTTGTTTTCCCCAGCTACGAGTTGGAAGATAATTGCTGTAATTGGCTACTTGCATAGTCTCTTTTTTCTTCTTTTTTTTTCTTGAGAAGATATTTAGAAAACAGAGAATTTTATATTCTTGTCTTGACAGAAGTCTAGGTATTGACACAGTAATGAATCACCGATTGCATGGTTTGTAATCTATACTGAATTTGCATGCATATTATTTGAGAAATGTTTGTTTATCAAGTGTGCGTTGCATTCCTTCTTTTCACTAGCAAGATTCATGTTGAATGCCAAACATGAACACAGCAAAGGCCCAACAGCTGATCAGTGATATCTTTGATCAGTGAGCAGTCAGTACTCTCTGAATCTGTCTAAGGCTAAGGGGCAGTCTAGTCCCGCAGGCTGGAAAGACCGCAAGTGTAATGTTGATAGTCTTGATGCTCTCTTTTAATTTTGGAAGCTTTTTCAGGCTGCTTTGTGACTGACTGGAGAGTGTGCAGTGCTGCTTGCTGAGGATCTATCTGATGCTCTTTCTTTTTGTTGAAGCTTGATACACCTTTGGCCATTGCAAGACAGCTCTGTGGCTGCCTTCTGCAGTATCTGTACCAAGTGGATCCTCCTCAAACTTTTAGGACATCTTTTCATTCCTCCAGACATCTTACAAGGTGTGGAGATGTTAGCATGAAGGTGAGGGTCCAGGCCTGATTTGCAAATGTGCCTACAGTTCCAAAGGAAGAAAGGAGAGATGTTCAGCCTAACTTATCTAACTTTGTTTAATGACGTAATTAACCAATGTTGCATTTTAAAGATGCATATAATCAAGCATATCTTAGGTAGCTGCTGACTTAACTTGATACAATACATTTTTTCCTGACAGGTGCTTACTGAACAACCCTGGAGCATTGAATTACTGTGACACTTTATTTGTATGTTACCAAAATATTCGAAATCTCCCATGATGAGCAGCTGACGTGGCTTTAATGAATACCCACCAATGTAATATAAAAATAAAATCTCCATCAGAGGCATTTTTAGTCCAGCCAAATTTGATGTAATTCTTCCCCTTTACCCCAAAGCAGCATTTAAGAAGATTTCAATGATTGCTTCACCCGAAAGATTTTTCTTCATAGCAAGGGATCCATTTTTGTTTGGAAAAGGATAAAACACTTTCTTAATTGAAGGACCTGAGTGCATCTAACTGCCTAGATTCCATGGGACTAAATTATGTTATAGGATACATTTGTTAAGAGTTTGGAAAATGAAGGTACTAATTGCGCTTAGAGTTGTTGGAGCTACTGTAGGATGTTGTGTGGGCAGAAGCTCTCTGAACTTCTTTGGACAGCTGTCTCAGAACTGGTCATGCTGCTTCTGTCCTCCTGAGTTAGTAACATGGCAAATTACTACACAGTTATTTAGAAGCTTTGTATTGTGCACACACAAGGTATAGCATGATGCCACCAATCCAGCTTTACTATTGAAAAAGTCCTTGTTTTTATCATTTTTTTTAGGCCATATTTCTGCACTCCTATGACAGGAAGTCATAGGTTATGCCATTCAGTAAGGACTGGTCTCTAAAAGGTGGCTGTCAGTGACTTCAATCTTTAGTCTGATCTCCTAGCAAAACCTCCTGATTAGTGCTTGGTAGTCTGTAACCAAAAATACTGGTATAAGAATCTGCTGCTTCTGGGGAATAGTACTGTGTGTGTTTTCTATAGAAGTCTTGCTTATTAGCAGAGAAGGTCAAAGGCAAAACAAAGACTTCAATAAGACTGATAAACAATTATTTTTAATATCTGCCTAAGACTTAAAGTCTAGATATGTTTGGCAGGTTTTGAAGGTGTTTCTCTAGATATTTCCTAGTACTTGCTGAGGAGGGGTTCTTCTAATCAATCTTCCACAAAACTCTGCAATGAGAGGTCGCAGCACATAACTATGAACCTAATTTTATACTAAGCTTTTATATATAGTGAATCCTTAAGGGGAAGTTTAACCAAAAAATTGTCAGTCCTGTTCGACAGACAGTATGCCTAGAGATTTCGTGTTGTTGGGTGAAACCTGTTGCGTTCTGTAACTGTGTAGCTGACAGGGAGTTTGGCTTCTAGAAGCAATTGGACATGTGAAATGCAAACATACTGATTTGCTTCAACTTCCCTCCTACCTCCCCATCTTGTATTTTATTATAGGCCATTTTTGCAAGAACAGTTGTTTGACCATTTTTTTTAAAGAAAATTAAATCTTTTGCTGTCTGTAAGAGGGATGTAAGTTACTAAAAAACTAATAGTTGTGTATGTGCCCTAGTAACGTTTGGAAAATCTGTATTTATCAAGTAATCATATTCTGAGGAAAGTGGAAGGATCTTTCCTACTGACAGTTCTTTGCTGTGGGAAGAGTTAGTGTCTGTTGCATCTTGGTTTGACTAATTTGCTGATCTGTTATGCCAACTTTATACTCAAGGTGCTTGTAGAACATCTTTGTTGAACCTTTTTGGACATCAGGGCATTTAACTAGATACAGCAGAGTAACTGGAGGAGAGGACATTCAAAAATAGATTCAAGCAGCAGCCTGTAATGCTGTATGCCACTGAGCAGATCCTTGCATAGACCTGTCTGGCTTGCACCATAGGTACTGGTGGCCAAATCTTGTATTTGCCTTTGGCAGAGGTCCATATGGAAGCATTGGGGGTTTCATCTGAGTGAGTAGTTACACAGGTTTGAACTAGTCAACGTTTAATATGAGTTGTATTTCAGGGGAAATAGGAATGGAGACCTAACAAAATAATCCACATCAAACAGACCTCTTTTCTGTTCTTAAAGTTAAGTTTGGAAGGTCAGACACTGACATCAAGCGCTGTTTGAGCTGGGAGACACAGAAGTCACAGACCCTGTTTGTCGCAGGCATGATTGCCTTGTCCTGTTAGAATGTCTTTGATTTCCAACATAGGCTGTTACAGGAGGAATATGTGTGTCTGGCTTGTTCTGTGAATCTTATCCAGATTGCAGACTGCTAAGATGGAAAGATGGAAACCACCTTTATGTGGGAAAGAAAGTTCAGCATTGTCAATTCTGTTCCTGTGATGCATTCGGTTCTATCCAGGACAGATCAGAAAGTGAATATGGTTAGGGAGGAGAAATGTGGCAGCTTGTTTCTCAGGTAGTTAACGATGTAGGGACTACCATGGAGCTTCAGCTTACCTGGCAATGCTCCTTCCCCTGATTGTGAGCTTGCTTTGACTGCTGTGTTGACAACATCAAACCCATGTCTTTTAAAACTGAAAGACCTGGGATGAAAATGAAATTTTTCTTTCATAGTTTCAACTGTTTTTTATCTTACTAACTCAACCACAGCAATGTATAGCCCTTTTTGTCCTTTTTTCACTCTTGTTAATTGATTCAATGATTTAATGTTTTTGTGGTATGCTAGTGCTACCCAGTTGGTCATATATACAAGAGCAGCAGTTGTAAGGAAACTAATCTGTTTTATCTGTCATTAATTACATCCCCTATGTAATTAATAAGAGCTACTGAAACTTCCGATGATGAACAAGTTAGCAGACCATATCCTTTGCAACTGCAGAACGTGACACACTTGTCAGTGCTGTTTGAAGAAATCTGTAAGATTTCTCTTGGGATAATGGTTATGATTACTTCCAACATCTGGTTTTCTTGTTGTGCCTGGCTGGAAACAAAATGGTTTAGAGGAAACTGGCCTGTTTTACTGATGAAAGTTCTTCCACATTCCATATAACTTTTGGTCTTTTTCTATTGGAATAGAATGAGCCTTCTTCAGTGAAGTAATTTCAGCTGGAATGGCAAACTCACTAAAATGTATGGGGAAAATCCCCAATAGTACATTTTAGGAGTGGTTTTTACCATTCTAACTTGTCTTGTATTAAAGATGAAGACAGAGAGCCACCAGGTTGCTTATTTAATCTCTGGTTTCTGAACTTAATGACCTTCTGAACATCAAACTTGAAAGCAATGTCTTTGTAAATACGTGATCTCGATTGGAAGGTATCAAATAATTTTAATCATTATGACTCTGAGTTTATGATGTAGATTTGTAAATTTGTAGGATGAAAAATTTGGTCTTCATCAATGATAAAATTCCCAGTGAGTTCAGTGAAGTCAGGACACATTTTACAGGTCGCATACTAGTTTTTAACTCCTCTAGACCTGCTGGATGCTAATTATCTCTGTAGCTATTGCCCTTCAGTGCTGTGCTCTTCAGGATTCTATCTCTGGTGGTAACTGTTACAGACACTGGGTATAATCTCTGAAAGTCTTTGACAGTTGTTATGTAGCATTTGTCCAGAATGTGCTTGAAGGCAGATTGTCCCATAAATTTTTCAGTCAGCATTTTCCCTTCCTGTAGTAGAAGATCAAACATAAGAATATCTAACATTCTTATCTAACATAAGAATATGTCTTTTTTTTCCTTCTCTTCTTTTTATATATTTTCCATGTTTCTTCTTTTTTATTTATTTATTTTTTGTTTCTTTTTAAAGATCCAAGTACAAATCCAGCCTATTCAGAAGAAAGATTGGCTCATGAAGCTTTGCAATTAGAAAAGCGCTTGAGCTTGTTGTCCCATACAAGTCGCCAGGGCAGTGGAGGTAAGAAATATCTTTAATAAAAATAAATGGTGTTCCTTCCTTCCCAGGCTTTAGAAATGAGCATATGTATATAACTATAAGATGCTGAGCTTAAAAGAAAAATAATAGCGAAATGGTCAAGATACTTGATTTGGCTGCTGTTCCCTGTGAGGCAGTTCTTTAACAGCATTGTCTCAAGTCCATTGATGTAGATTGGAGTTTCTCAATGGATCAGAGTGAGTTTTGGATCAAACACTATTAATACAGGAGAATCCTTTAGTATGCTGAATCCTACTGACTTTGTGAATGTGCAACTTCAAAAGAACTGTCTGCATCGAGTTTGATACCTGCTGAAGTATTTGAGTCAGTCCAGCCTGTGAGATGGACTGACTTCTATAGTTCACATATCAGGCTTACAGCAGGTTTTTGTAGTAAAACCTGACTCCTGTGCTTTGATTCTAAGTGTTATTATTCTTGCTCTTTGTGGTGCTATCTGTGCATGTCCGCTTCTGGAGTTGCTTATGTATCAAGGTAGAATTGGTGTCTAGCACTGGATTTGTAAAAGGGCCTATGCCCTGACCTGCCATTTGAATTGTTTAATAGCAGAAGTTAGATCCTCAAAACATCTGCTTTGCTGTTGACTCGAAAGCCTAGAAGCCTAAAATTGGCCCTGTGAAGATTCTCAGGAGCTTAATTATGTGCTTCTCTACATGTCCATGGCTACTTTAGTCTTGACACTGCTGAGTGATGTGGTTTGTGACTAAATTCCACTGAGACTTCCTGAGGTTTTTCTTAGCATATAGCTACTAGACTTAACTAGATTGATGGAAAACAAGTGAGACTTGATAGAGAAACATGCCTGTTTTTTATCCTGTCACTCTGGTTAGAAAATGTGGCCCAACTTCATATACATTCTCTGCTTGAGATTACTTGAATTTATGACCTTATTCTCCCAAGAATGTCATAATCCTCAGAGAATGAGGAATCCTAGAGTAAGATTTTCATATTCTGTTATTTGACTCTTGCATTGGAAAATTAAATATTTGTGTTTATAGGAAATACTATAACAACAAGACTGTAGGTTTGGTGGGAGGACGTTTGCCTGAATCTGGAGATCTAGGCTCTGTCACTGCCTTGGAGAGCGTGTAGCTCTGTATAGTTAGAGCATTTTCTTCACGACTATGGGAGGGCTTCCCTTCCAGAATTCTAAAGTTCCTAAAATATTTATCGAGGAGAAGTGATTTCAAATCAATTCAACAACGTTATTTTTAAAATAAGAATAGATGTTTTTGTAAGCACAATAGCTTTTATTTAACAAGTGTATTTCCACTTCTGGGCATGTTGCTGAGAACTACACTAATATTTTTGTAATTCATGCCTTCTGTCTAGACAGCTGTATAATTTAATCTCAGGAGTTACACTTATGCAGGGGTCACAAGCCAGTGTCATGCAATGGGCACTGGGGGAAAAGAAAGAATTAGATTTCAGGGGATAGACACTGCTATTTCATGGTAGTATATATATCAAGAATTATTCCATGAAGAGCGGGAGAATTGTTCTGACCATTTCCCTCAACAACTGGGAATAGAAATAGCCTAGTAACAGCAGAACCTCAGGTCACGATTTGCAGTGGATCCTTCCCCTTTCTACCCCATCTGGCAACTTATTGCCTAAGGTTTAAAATTAATAAAATTGATTAAAATTAATACCTACAAAATGATCCTGCTGTCAGCTTTTTGTTTTCACATTGGTTTTATTAAAAAAGGAAGAAAATAACATTGTGAAATGTGTGTCGCTACAAGAAAGTGTGTGTTTTGTTTTTGTGTATGTGTTTGTGTGATGTTTGTGTTTTGTCCTTATGCCCTTTCATGCCAATGTTTAATTTTTTTCTTCCATATTCTGTCTTGGATAGCAGTAAAAGTGTCCTTGCAAGTATCAGTGAGGAAAAAAAAAATAATCCTGCAATATGTGCATAAATGAATCATGGAAGATCTTTTTGTATATAGATATGTAAACATTTTTATAATAGGAGTATTCTCATTTTTGTTTGTTGCAGTGATGTATGGTTGCATTTTGGTATGGATATTATGGAGAAGTACAGTGTAGGAAAGCTCAGAGGAGAGAACAGGACAGTCTTTCATTTGATTCTGGTTTTGTGGTCTCTTTAATATTCACTTTGATGTCATTCACAAAAGATTTAAATAGAGGAAAAAAGTCCAAATAAGATAATAATTTGGTTGATTCAGATAAAATAGAAACATGGAAATGTCTTATATGGCTTTGGGTTACAGTAACAAGGTTTTCTTCGGAGCATCCTCAGCTATTCTGAGCATGGGACTTTGTGACTATTCCCTGAGAAGTATCTAAAATAAAACCAATTAACTGTACAGTAGTACAATATGGTTGAAAAGGGAAGAACTTGGTGCATAAACTCTAACAATTTAGCTCCGAATGGATTATGTTCCAGAATGTGATAGGGTTATGGCAAGGTAACATACTATTTGCATTTTATTTTTCCCATGGGACTAGGAATTATTGCAGGAATTCTGGCTTTCTGACAGAAGTTCCCCTTACAAAAAGCAGATGGAATCTCAGAGTCCTTTCTGTTTGTACATACTTACCATGCTTCAGTCTGTTGATTATGTTTTAAACAGATTGATGTGTTTTCTTCTTTTCTAGGAGATGACAGAAGTCTTTCCAGCTCGTCTTCAGATACCAGCCATTCAGATGTTAGTGTTGGGAGCAGATTGACAATTTGGCCTGAACAGTCTTCAGCTAGCACCTCTCAAGAGAGTCACGGACTGGCAGCTGCAAAGGGCATTCATCTTGGGGAAGAAAAGACCCTTCCAGAAGGGGCACGCGGCACCACTAAACCACCTCCAAAGCCCCTCCGATCCAGACAGCTACAGGAAATAGGTCGTCAGAGTTCTTCTGACAGTGGAATAGCTACTGGTAGTCACTCTTCTTACTCTGGAAGCTTCTCTTCCTATGCTGGCAGCTTGGACATTTGCCATGGTGATGAATTTGGATCATTGCTAAGCTTGCCATTGAACTTTCCTTCGGATCAGAATTTATGTACTTGTCCTCACAGTGAGCCCCAGAGAGGTGCGGGATCAGAGTATCAGGTTCCCAGCTCTCTCAGACATATTTATGATATACCCAGGAGTTTGTTACAGGCAGCTTCTAAAGATGTGCAACCGAAGAGTGCAGATTCCACGCTACCCAAGGACCAGGCCCTGTCACCTCAAGGTGCTAGTGACCCAAAACTGCTGCTACCACACTTGGAAGCACGGAGGGTACCTGAGCACAGCCAGGACAGAGGGAGGCCTTCATCCTTACCCGCAGAAAGCAGCAAGGACTCAAGTGATGAGACATATGTGGATTTTATTTCGAGGTGGTCAGACACAAAAGCACAAGGACAGGTATCAGACTCCAAAAGTGGTGAGTTGTCACCACCTAGTGGGGCCTCAGCTGACCCCTATGACACATATAGACCCCACCTTGGGATGACAAGAGCTCTTTTTTCAGCTTGTCCAATCTGTGGTGGACTAAAGGTAAATACCTAACACTGAGCAGATGCTAACAAGCCTTACTTAATATAGCATGATTAATTTAAAATTACTTAAATTGCAGGTCATAAGTACTGTTGTTTCATTATAATTTGAACAGGTAATAACTTTTGTGTTGTTTATGCTTAAGTCGAGAGGCTTAGCACACGGTTTCCTCAGAATCTGTGCCTGATCAAGAAAACACTGAACAATATAGGCCATCAATTATTACTTTTAAATTGGCCAATTTTGGCTTTGGGTTTATGTGAGTGGCTTACAGTGACAGACATAGAAGCTTTACAGGCACTGAGAGGGCTGAATTTGTCATATAATAGTAATCTAGCATGAAGGACGTGGATCTGTCTTGCTGCTGGTATTTCAAAAGAAGAAAGAAGGGAGGTCAAATAGTATGTGCTGCTCTTAAGGTGACCACAGTGCATATTTTTATTTTATTGATATTTTTCTTTTCTTTATCATTGTAGTTTGAGCATGTCTTGCACAAGAAGCCAGATTAGGAAAGCTTCTCACTGGGGAAAGAGAAAATAGTCAAGTCAACACAGCAATCTGTAGCAGATCAACTAATCCAGTATTATAACTGGCTAATGACAGGTACTTTAGAGGAAGTATCAAAAAACTCATTAATGGTCTACTACCAGGACAGTCTATTTGCAGGAAAAATTATTTTTGATCACCAGTCACATAAAGACTTAAACCCTGAAGTATGGAGGTTCATATGCCTTCCTAAACACATTTGCCAGTATCTGTTACTATGACTTTGATATTCTCATAAATTCTTTTTGAACCCTGCTAAATTCTTGGCTTTTTATGGCAGTAAGCTTTATACATTAATTGTACATTGTATGAAGAAAATGTATCTGTGTTTATCCATTCTGGAGAAGACTTTTTTGTGAATGTGTTTGCTAAACTAGAAGAAGGTAAAGCTGCTTGTCTTGGTGAGCTGTTGAAAGACTGGGAAGGTTAGAGGGAGTGCTCAAATTAGGGAATCTGAAGTAAGGATTCAGCAAGAGAGGCATTTGTTTGAGGAATTACATTCTGCCATTCAAGTGTGTACATTTTAACTGAGCATGTGAGATTACATATATCAATGCTATGAAAAGGGCCTGAGTGTATAGTAAGTTATGAAAGAAAAATTAAAAGGTTATAAACTTGAGGGATTCTTTTCTTCTCATGAGGTGTTTCATGCATTTGCATCATTGACTGCCTTCACGTGTCTGAAAACTAGAAAATGCTGTCTGCCTGAGGCGCTTGCATAGCCTCTGTAGCGGCACCTAGGATGTTACTTTGGCGTGTACTTGCAGTGTTTGGGAGGTAGGGAGACCCTGGTGTGACAGGCCTTAGAAGGTTGTGTCTACACTGATCGTACAGATCAGTGTTCTTCCCGCAGCATCCTTGCCAGCCATCTGCACCAAGGGCCCTCACTAGCCCTCTAGCCTAATTCTGGAAGCTTGGCTGGATGCAAAGGCCTGAGACTCAGCCTCCCGCTTCTCTTCTTTCTGCAGTGCAGGCAGTGGGGTGCGCAGCAGGGGATCTGCTGTTGGCTTGCTGTGTCTGCTGCCTGTAGTTACAAGTTGGGAAAAATGCACGAGACTGATTCCTAGAAGGGCTCTGCTGTGGGAACAGAAAGCTCCAAGATGGCTGTGTTAAAGGCAGTGAGGAGAGAATTAGTTAAGGTACAATTAGCTCACATGGTCTAAAAGTTTCTGGGTGATCTGAATTGTCATTTTCGACATGAATTTATCAAAGTTTACCCTGGATGTCTGTGGCAGACTGGAAGCTTAAAGTGAGTATTCCATTGTGTATCTTCAAAGCCATTAAAGGCTGAATCTATGTCACTTGTTCTTTAACTTCGTGTTGACTCTAACAACATACACACCCACCCACATCTTTTATTGCAAAGTGCTGTCAGGTTTCATGGTGTTTTTAATTGCCCTAATAATATCAGTTAGCGAGAATTTCAGAAATTGTCAATATTTAAACAAATTTAGTGAGAGAAACACTGATGCAGCCCCCTTACTCTTTTTTTTACCATGAGATATGCACATCTGCTTCTTGTCTTTTTTTTTTCTATCCACTTGTAAGCAGTTGGGAAAGAAGTCTCATTAAATGGAATGATTAATGGGTTTGTTTTTACTTTTGAAAGAAAAAATAACCTTTTTGATACTTTGTCCTGAACTGTCAAGATGAGTTATTTTAGCAGTATTTAATGGACACTGTCTTTGACTTTTCTCGTGATGAATACAGTGAAAGCACAAATCCATATGCTGTAACTAAGAAATAATTCTTGTTCCTTGTGCTCTGAACAGAATATGTTTAAGATGCAGTTAGGGCCAGGAGGAATTGATTTATGGATTAATGAAGACACCAGGTTTTCACGTTTATTCATATTCATGTTCAAAAGGCTTTAGTGTGCCAGTGTTTGGAGTTCCTTTGCAGTTTCAAGTTAAGCTGTTAATTAAATTGTGTTGATGGTTTTTAAGTGCCTACTATTTAAAGTCAGTGACCTGAGTAGAGGAAAGTCTACAGCAGTAATAAAGGATATAAGCATTGGTTTGTTTTCTACCCTGTATGTAAACCTTAGCAAATTGAGGTTAGATTTGGGCATGTTGTCTGTGTGTGTTGGAGTTCAGTTTGTGAAGAGGTGGAGACAGGTTGCAGGATGAAGATGTCCATATGTGGAAGGCATGGTGGCATTTGTGATTGGGATTGACTTGGTTAAGAACCATCTGCTCCACTAATGACAAAGATGATGATGAACATAGGGAGAACATACCCTGGGAAAGTGCCAAGGTTCAAACAGAAAATAGGGCAAGGAAGCCTTTCTGTTTCACTCTGGATGAAGAATAGAACCAGCACGAAGAAAGTCGCTAAATATTGCTTCTATTATTTCTATATTGTATTTCATATTAGACATTGGGGATTAATAAGCAAGCATGCAGGGTGTTTTGCTTTCTGTTGTATGTTATTGTAGTGTGCTCAAGATGTCCTTCCTTACAAACTTCACAAGGTGTGCTTTTGCTATGTAATTTTTGCCTAGGTGATTTCAGTGCTATAGATGATTGCAGAGATGAAGTCTTTGTGTATTGTAAGTATTTTATAAGCTCAGAATGTTGGATTGTTACGGGATTTCTGAGCAAGCTGTAGAGATTTATTATTAGACTTACTACATTTTTCAACTATTTAGCTAATACTAATTTGATAATAGAATTTCACTGTATGCTTGTTGATCTGTAACTTCACTTGATGCTATAGCTTGAGAAATGATGTCAACCTTTTTTATAGGGTGTCTTTTTTCTTGCACCACCATTGTTTGTAAATTTTCTTAGAAGTCTGAAAAATAAAATTATTTTCCAACTGGTTTTGTCCTTTTCCATCTGACAAGTACTGGTTTAGGTTTGCTTTGATTTTTGTCCCCTGACCTTCATCTTCTTGCAAGCTGAATTAATATGGAATGATTATGGCTGTCTCTTCACACTACTTAGTGTTATACTCAAATCACTGTTGACAGCTTGAAATGTGCCTATTAGTAGGAATTACTTTTATGTATGTCTAGCTCACCCTAAACTCATATTTATGTCAGTGGGAGTTCTTACATAGAAATAGAGTCTTGATTACTGCTTTGGTAGTTCACTTGCCATGATAGAAGAGAAAAGAAAGTGTCAGTTTGTGTGTGGCTGTTGTCATCAATCCTGTATTGGTATTCAGCCACCTACTTTAGTTGATCATTACAAATACCCAAACGTCCTTGGAGACAATGGTCCCAAATTAGGAGCCAGTCTACTCAGATCCTCTGTGAGGTATTTGTATAGTTCCTGCTACTGCAGTAGCTGTATGCCTCAAACTTTGAATCTCCCAGGATATCTGTAGTAAGCAGAAATATGGGAATGCTGTGGTCACAATGCAAAAAAGAGTTCAGGCGTTTTGTCAGGTAGTGGGACCCACAGTGCTGAGTGGCAAAGAACCCTTCCCTGCACAATATAGGGAGATCTCGTACCTGCCCTGGGGGGATGTGGGTCTTGGTTTAAGTGGAGGATTGCTTTGATTAGCTGATAGGAAATTTACCTCTTTTAGTCTGTTCTGTAGAAACTGCTTTATTTTGCATTAAAGCTTTAAGGGAAGACATGTGCATGTCTGTACTGTGATCATTGAGCAGGCACTTTACTCGGTATGTTTAATCATGCAGCACTGTGTCCTTGCAGGGCTTGTTAATCACATGCAGTCTTTTCTGAGTGCAGAGTCTCTGGGTAGACCTAGAGCTACTATGAATATCTGTGTTTCCATTGTGCATTGTAGTCCATGGAGAGACTAAGCCTAGAGAGAAGCAAGGCTGATATGTCCTCAGGCGGAGAAGGGGCTTGAACTCTAAAGAACATCTTGCACTGAGGTCTGTTTTGTGGTCTTGCCTGGACTGATTGAACTGAGGTCATGAACAGCCTGTAACTGGGTTGGGAATATAGCCTTGGTCTTCCAAATCCTCTACAAAACCCTTAACCCTGGATTTAGCTGGTGTGTCTCCTTTCATTGTAGATGCTGCTTTTGAAAGTGGTAAAAGAGAAGGCATATAAGGTGTAAACTTGTCTAGTGAGATTCAAGAAATAGAGACTGCAGACTACGTTGCCATGTCCATGAAACTAAGAATGTTTTCCTTTTTTTTTTTTTTGGCTTTTAATCAGGTACTTTTCTAATGTAGTATTAAAATAGATACTAAAGAAATCACAATATATTGTTATATAGAACTTTAATGTAGTTTGTTTTTTCCTGTTAGAGCCATTACCTCTTTCCCCATGAGACTGAATACCTTATGTGTTTATCTTGTAGTGTGTTTATTTCCCTGCTTTCTCTGAAAGTATAGGAACATGATTATTCATAATTACACACCTTTTACTTCTCTTTTCAAAGATCTTTTTTTTAAACAGTATTGATGTGTGATGCTGTAACATTTTATGCTTCCTCCCACCTTCAAAAAAGCTACAGGCTGTCTAAATTCT